CAGGAACTTCCCTGTGCACTTCAGCAGGCTTTGGATCTGGCCCTGAGCATGCACATGGTTTATTGTGACCATGGGTACAGGACAGGTAATATCACGTGCAAGCGATTATGTAGCAGCATTTTCATGCATAACCACAGTAATGGTGGGTGAAAACTGGACATGTGCTTGTTTAATCCAACGGTATGAAAACTGGCCCTAAAATGAAATGTTTGGGCTGTGGACCTGAACATCCAGAAATTTGGAAGATGTACTACAGCTAAACATAGTTTTGTGAGTGGCTTTGGTTTTCTCTTTGGATGACCCCAGACGTCATTTGGAGATGTTCAGAGTTGATGCTTGGATATTCTCTAGTTTGAATATACTGAATATAAGTTTGTCTCCTTAATAAATGGATAAGAATTCTTGATTTCCTTATTTTCCCTGTTTTCCTATTGAGATGGTGAGATACTATCTTACTGCAATCTGTTGATTTATAAGATGCATGGAAGCCCTCCTTCCTTAAACACAAGTTGCCATAAAGGGTGCTTAGTTCATTTCTGTGGATTTAATTTCAGTCAGGTCCTTCTGCCTCACCCAACAGGCACTACTCTCTCAAGCCTGTGGGCCTTGGTCCTCTGTGTTTTACCAGGGCATTGCACAAGTCTGATCATGTAATCCCACTTCCCCCCATAGCAACTGGCTCTGACCCCAGTCCTGGAGTGTGACATATGAGAACTGCTTAGACCAAAGCTTTCCATCCACCAGTGGGGTCTGGCCATTAACCTTTTGTTTACGTACTTGCTGTGCACAGAGACGCACTTCAGACATTTCCTTGCTAAACAAAGGCAGGGGTTTAAACCGAGCAACATGCTTTATGACTCTGGGCATCGCTACGCCGCATGCCGTTCGACTCTTTTCTCCACAGAGATTAATGCTGGGATCTTAAACATCACGAATGCCTTATAGACATTCCATTAACATCAGTGTCTCCTAGGTGGCTAGCCATACCATTATTTATAAAGTAGGGATCCCTTCCTAATGCTATGGCTACGGATCCCTTGATTTCCCGAGCGTATAATCATGTGTATTATCAGCTGTGGAGCATTTTACACTGATACATATTTTTTACTATATAATGAGCTGCGTGTGTGTGAGTGACATACAAAAAGAGACGAATACTGCTATTGCACTTACTGCAATGTATGAGCTGATCTGGTTAGACACGAAATGCAGACAGAAATCCGCCTTACCTCTCAAGCTAATTTTAGTCTCTCCCTCTCTCCTCTCTAGCTGTGTGTGTATAAAATCACTCGCAGTCTGACAGCGTTCCAGTAACCTGTGCCACGCGCAGAGCGGGTTGTACTTACTAACCATCTGCTTGCATGGCATGGGTTAACTGAGCCTGTGGGATTGTGCTTACCTAAACAAAACCACTGCAGTGAGGGGAAAAACAATGAATGGGTGGAGATGATCAGCCCATGCATTCCAGCTAGTGCAGTCCAGGCAGCAATGACAGCCTGAAGGTTGCAGCAGCATCGGGATCTGCATTCCAAGTGCACAGATCTTACAGTCTGGAGTGATTTTACGTGGAGCTGCTGTTTATTTGCTGAGCCATGGCCAGTAACCAGGCCAGCCTGCAGGATGATCAGAGCAGGCACTGCAAGTTCTTATCCTATATGTTCTACCAGGCTGTGAGAGATCACAAGCCTGTGTGGATGCTGGAAGACATGAGAACTATGGAGTATTTTTACTGGGAGGAAAATGCCAGCCTAAGGACCTACTCACCTTCAGAAGCCCTTCTCTATGCAGTGGTGCATAACCACCTGCCCTATGCTCAATATCTGCTGTCTCATTTTCCAGAAGAGGCTCTCAAGGTGCCTGGGGAACACTTCTGCTACTGCCCATCCTCTGCTCCTCACTTGGCCATGGCAGTTACATATGACAGGAGAGATATTTTGGGGCTGATCATCAAAATTGCACACAAGCTCCCCAGCTTGAACTCTTACATCAATAGGACCGGCTGCTTTCATCTGGAAGATGGGAAAACCCCCCTGCACCTTGCCTGCGAACTGCTGAGGTCAGAGACGGTCCTCATCCTCCTCGGAAATGGAGCTTCTCCCAGGATAGAGGACAGTAAAGGGCTTACCCCACTGGACGTCATCCTGGAGCAGATGTGGGACTCCAAAGTCAATGTGGCATCAAAGAAGCTCTGCCTCGACTACCTCTTGCTCTTCATGCCCAACCCACAGTTTAAGATGCGGAAAGTTCTGCAGGAGCATCCAGACCACTGGACAGCTTTGCTGGGGGAAGACAAATTCAACAGCCTGGTGGGGAACACGCCTGCTTCTTTATATCTGCAAGCTATGCAAACTATTCTCCAGACTCTTCCCCCCTCCCACTTCCCTAAAAGCATCCAGGAACTACCTATACCTCAGGCACTAAAGCCCTTACCATCCTATGGCAAAAAGCTACCGACAAAAAATGTGGTAAATGTTTTTCCTTGACTTTATTCGCTGGGTCTTGGATTTTCAAAGGCAACTTAGGGGAGCTGGTCATCCACCACCCTCTGCATTTTAGTGTGATTTTAGTACTTAACCTATTAGGCTATGCTGGAAAATCCAATATTTTGTGACAAGATTTTAAATGTCTTTTCTAATTGATTGCAGGCACGGCACTTTTAAAGGCAAAAGCCTTTCTTGTTTCCTGTTTTGTTGTGCATGTGAAGGGTTAACTGTAGTCGAGACTGTGTTATGTTTGGTTTCTTAGCTGTCAGCTGGTGTCAGTGTATCTGAATTCCCAATATGATAACTGTATCCTGTGTAACCTACCTGGATGAAAAGGAACTACGTGCCCAGTGGGATTTTCAAATGGTGTAACTATGGGACTGTGTTCTGCTAAAGCTGGAAGAAATACCATCCCATACCAACAGGGTTCAAACGTCAGGTGTCCTTTCTAACAATGATCTAGCATCATTTAGTAATAACCAAAAAGTCCATGGCTGATGCTGCAGGGGTGTAGAGGCAGTCCTGAAGGGTCCCTGATTTTACTGAGTTACTTTACAGCAGGTCACAGTGTGGAGGGCATGAGTTCAGAGAGGGGCAGTGGGTGTATATTCCTGGTGGGGGGGGATAGAGACGAGCAGATTAGCATCCTGTCTTGGCTGGGAGGGAGAGAGTTAAAGACAATCCCAGCCCTGATGCCTCTATAGACTTGTGCAATGGGGAAGGAACCATTTTCCCTGCTGTCCACAAAACAAACGGAAATCAGAGCAGGGCCAGAGGAAGCCCTGTCCTTCATAAGAGACATTATTTCTCCTTGACTTGTGTTTTAGGGCTGAACGTATCTCCACAAAAGACATAGCTCACTAACTTGATTTCCCAGTGGGTCTCAGAGCTACTGGCATTTGCTAGTTATCCTAAGCTAGGGCATGATGTTCTGCTGTTAAAAGTTCTCGCTTATCAATTAGAGTATTTTTGCCACCCGGGTCCAGACAGAGGGCCTAATCCTGGAAAATACAAAAAGTTCCCATTGACTCCCCTGGGCACTGCAGGCAGGGTGTGTTTGCAGAAAGCAGGGCTGGGGCTGCCCTGCTTTCTGGGGAGCTCTGCGCCTTGCTGCCCAGGCAGAGCCCTGTCTGTTCAAGGCAACCCGTCCTGCTCTCCCAGCCATGTCCAGCACCAACAACGCAGTAGTAGGATCCCAACTCCCTTTGGGGGACACCCCTTATTTTGGCCCAAATGTTCTCCTCTCTTTGTAAGCACAACCCTCTGCTCTGCTGAAGTAGCATAACCCATTTCCTCAGATCCGTACTGAACAGCAGTGAAGAAACTCTTCATCTCTTTAAATAAATTTGGAGCTGAAGGCTGTGGGGCACAAACCCCTTTTAGCAAGGCTCTGGCTAAGGAAGGATGTGTGTTCACATCTTGATTGCTAGTGCAAAAATGGCTTGTGTCTCATCTGGCTAATTCCCTGCCCATGCCAAGGCAGCTGGAGCTGCACCCTTTTTTCCACCAGCACAGGGAGCACTTCCCCTCGGTTTCCTTGTGCGTGGGCTACCTCCCGTGTGCCAGGACGCTGGTGATGCCAGCCACAGCCAGGCGGAGATTTCCTGCAGGGCTGCACAATGTGCCAGGCACATCCAACTGGAACATCCTTTTGGAGACATGAGGATGCTCCTCCCGGACATCCCTTCCTGCATGCCGTGGAAGCACCTTGGTGCTGATTCTTGCCACGCTGCACTAGATGGAAGATTCAGATTTGCTTGTGAGATGGAGAAGATGTCAGCCCAGCCCTACAAGTGGCAAGCAGGCCAAGAAGGGGTTAACCCTTCTCCTGAAATCCCACATCCCTGGTGCTGCAGTGTCCTTCCACCCCTTTGCCTGGGGACTTGCATATCTTTCCCCATCTGTGTCTATTCCTCCTTGTGTGATGAGGGAGGGTGTGAATGGTGGCGGAGAAATTCAGGGTCAGTCTTGGGCGAGGGTTTTGCGGAGAGGCTGTTCCTTCGGCAGCCTCTGCAGCAGTCGGAGGCTGTCACAGCTTGGGAAGCACAGCAGAGCCCAAGGCAGATTTGCATTATAAGCGGTGGCTGAGCTGCTTCTGCCAAGCCCTGCAGGCTCCCCAGCCCTGGCAGCCCCCAGAAACCCGGAGCTGGAGGCAGAGGACAAAGCAGGCGCTCGCTGCCCAAGTCTGACAAGGGCAACTATGGCCCCTGTGGCACCCCTGGAGTCCGGAGGAGCAAGACTGGGTTTGTCCCCAGCAGCAATGCAGTATCTCATCCGGATGTCAGATGACAGTGGGCGAGAGGCGGAGGAGGCTGGTGATGGATATTATTAGAATAGTAATTAGGCCCTGGGAGCAGAGATTCCAGGGAAGGAGGGAAAGGAAATCATCAACTGTTATTGCAATGGCTCAAAACCATGAGAGTTTCGGTGCTATAAAGAGTTTCAGAAAAGACAGGAGGGAGGGGAAGGCTGTTCGACTTACAAATCAAAGGAGGCAAGTAGGAATTCTTGGCGTTAATGAGATAGCACTTTCTAATAAGGCAGGGGACTGTACCCAGAGAGCCAGAGCAACCCACTGCGAGCAAGTGGGTCTAAAATGCTGCAGGGATCTCTTGGTGACTGTAAGAGTTGTGGATCATTGCAAAGGTCAGGGTTCAGGCACTTTGTGGGTGGATTTATAGCAGGCAGCCGAATGCTTATGCGCAAGCATTTGCCCATGTGGGAGGCTGTCCTCTATCCACTGGGCCAGACAGAGGCTAAGAGATTCATTCTCTCAAACTCAAATTCTAGGGCATATCTGCCTCTGGTACCACAGCCTGGAAGAAAGCTGCTGGCCCACCATTGACCAACATGCAAAACCTCTGGTGTGCTCAGCCCAGAGCACAACAGGCAGCTACTCGTGCTGGGAAGATCACTCCACAGCCCTCTCATTCCTCCTTTTCCTGACCATTTTAACAAGAGATCAAGCACCAGCTGGCCCTCAGGTGCTGAGCTACCATCAGACCTCTATGCACAGTCCTGTTGGGCCAGAGTTTAGGGCCATTAGCGTTGTGGTGGTTATGGTACAAATGCAGAATGAGGCATCCTCCTGCTGGAATGGAGGAATCTTCTCCCTACACCTGGTTTGCTTATCTCGTGGTGA